TTAAAAATTGTTTATATATAGATTGCTAATAGAAAGTTTACTTACTTAATTCAGGATTCGACTAATGACCGGGAATATCCACTGTTTGAACGACGAAACTCTCCAGCGCAGGATTCGGATCACGAGTAGGTACTTGCACGGAGTACGGGAATGACGTAACACAAGTTTATACGGTGGTTTAATTTAGTGAAATATATTTGCTTAACAATGACGGAAGCTCGGGCCACATTAGGGCCGAGCAACCAGGAATGTAATGAGTGACATTACCATAATTGCCGTAATGGTGAGAAAAAAAGAACAAGAACAATAAAAACTTACGTGCCTCAATGACGACGAAAACAATAACAACATACGATATCACAACAAGTGGTATTAGTACAGATTAATAATGAAAAATAAAAACGATAGTGGAAATCAAAGAGATTAAAAGAGAATCAAATCGCCGTATGATGACGGCGGCGCGATAACGACATTTCAGTGTGGCGCGCAAACCGTCCCTTTTTATATTTACTGGCACTTAGATAATCTATGAATTTTTGACCAAACGCTTTTCTAGAATACTCCATTCTGACATGAAATGACTTATTTTTCATTTAATAACCCTTTTCGTATCCGGAAAGGATACAAAGTTTTTAATTATATATACAATTAGTTATTTTTTTATACACAGGCTCAAATGGTAACATATCTAATAACTTAAAGCTTTCTTTAGTTGAATTTATTAAAGTAGTTTTACTTAAAAATATCCTATCAATTTTTCTTTGTAAAAGTTGTAGTGGTCTAGACGCATTTTGATTCAAATTTTGACTATTATTTGATACAAAAGTATATTTCAAAAATTATAAAGAAAATATTTACCTGGTCAATTAATTGTTTTTATTTTTATAAACAATTATTATTACAAATTACCTATTTCAAGTAAATATTACCTACTTAGTAAGTATTATTACTTATATTTACAAACAAAATTTTAAAATTATTATTTACAAATGTACAATAAAAATAGTGCATTAATATAAAATGATTTATTTGTTATACGTATACCATGAGGGAGTTGGGATTTATATGTTTTTACATATCGTTTCTGACTTTCTGAGTACCTATATGCAGTCTTATGAAAGTAAAAAAATTTGATAGTGTACAGTATACAGTAGACAGTATGTTAATAGGTACTAGCTAGTAGCTAGGTAGTATAGCAGGCACAGTCCACAGGGGCGGCTCCAGAGACATGATACACCAAGTGATAATTTTCAGAAAATGTCAATGATTTTTTTTGTAATTTTATTTTTAACAGTATAAAATTGTTTAGAAATACAGCTTTGGACCCGCCCCTGACAGTTCAACGGATGGCAGTCCGTAGGGTTTGGTATGTATATACAATTCCCTACTATAACCCAAGAGTGGGAATAAGTTGGTGCAGTCAGAAAAAATCATTAAAAATAACCTTGCGTTAAAGAAACATAAATCTTCAAGTACCGATGACGACGATTCATACAAACATTGTTATTAAACCATCTGCATCATTTTTTTTCTTTTCACTCCGCAGAACGTACACTATTCGGTGGAACCAAGGCATGCTGGGTGTCAAAAAAAAAAAAAAAACGTCCAACACTCGGTGTTTGAGTACATCGGCGAACCGATACGCACTTGATGCCAATCGTAATGGGATTCTACCGACGGTTTGGTTCTGCCAGTGATGCCGCCTACATTGATCGGCCACTTCAGGCTGTTACAAATGTATTATACGTACTCAAGGTGACGTATCATGACACACATCTCATAGATATATGATAATTATTATTTGCATCCGAGTCTCCGAGTTCGAGTTTCTATTTATCCGTAAAAGTTTGCTTTCCCATTGCGACATGAACACTAGCTAGGAAACCGCTGTAGTATTCGCGAGATTTTTGTTTTATTTTTCTTTAGTAGGTATGCCTACACCCTAAATAACGTATTGAAAACAAAGGAAATGGAGAAATATGGTCAAGATTTAGGTGTTTATTATTATAATTTTTGATTTTTGGATGAAAGTGGAGTCTCATTATTGGAGGAAAATAGCTACGCAGACCTGCGAATTGTATCTTCAATAGTTCAATGTCATTATCATAAATGGAAATCTGTTCTAAATATTTTAATGGATTAGTTTTTATAAAATATAATAATTTCAAGTAGCTAAGATGATCGAAGTAAAAATAAAACCCACTGGTTGAGTAAAATAATTATTTTTACAGTGGACCAATCATATTTTTTATGGGACCAGGAGATCATAATAAATTATGACATATACAATAACATAGACTAAGAATGACACACCTACGTTTTATTGGATCAGAAATTACAATATATGCCAAGTTTAGGTTATAGGATATAGGAGTTATACATCTCAAAAAAGTATCATTTTTTAAAGCGACATAAGTTCAAAGTTTAGACACTGAATAGTTATGTTATAAAATATATTTTTACTTGTCCTACAGGGCTTTCAAGTCCAACACTGCAAAATATAATCATAGTCAATCTGTATACCTATACTCTTTTAGGTAGATGTGGGAAAAAATATTATTAATTTTCTTATTAAATAAAAATTAACAGATATAATTATTTTATCTCAACCATTATAATATGATTAATAAACAACATGGCGGTGAAAACTCTTAAAGAGAATTAGGGCCATATAAAGAAGAAGAACAAACAACAGAAAAAAATAATCGAAAAAAAATGTTACTATAACACGTAAAGCTCGTATTATATTGAACAAAAAAAATATTATGGGGAAAAAACCATTGAATCGATACGTTTGTGACATTAAATAATAAGTCTAGTTTTTAATTTTTTATTATTGTGCGTGAATAATGAATATTCATCTTCAACAGCTAGGACATTAGTGTTATATGACATGTAATATTATAATAATTTATAATTCCATATTTCTATTAATAATAATAATAATTATAAATATATTTTTTAAATAACTATTTAAATGAGTGCATAAATTATTACAAATTTATATAGGTACTTCAATAAATACAAAAAGTTTGCACTTCTCATAAATCAAGCAAATATTTGAGCACTTCGATGTGTATTAAGTTTATCTTTAAATATTTTATACATTTCATTTATAAAATACCCACTTGTGTTAAGCTAGTTATGTACGATGTACCTATACGATTCCGGATCATCAACATTTGTAGGTACAGATTTATTTTTAATAAATTAGTAGATAAGTTATTTAGCTGTTGGTTTATGCCTGAACCCGAGATCTCAAAAGACACTGGTGCCTTGACCTGTTCATGTAAATTAATAACTATTCACAGACAAAAGTGTTGCTGAAGCATGACTAATTCTTTCCCCACGACATACAAATTAAAATCCGTGTTGGGTCCCGAGTACTAGGGATAAATCGCAGGTACTACACTAGTTGGGTCCTGGATTTTTTTAGGTACTACACTAGTTGGGTCCAGGATATTTTTGGGTACTACACTAGTTAGGGTCTGGGATTATTTTAAGTAAATATACAATCCAAACGAAAAATGATATTGAACGATGGAGATGCATTCAGAGATCATGTAAGTCATTTTTTTAAAATATTTCAACGATCAATTTATCAAAATTTATAAAAGACAAAATGAATCAAAAAAATTCAGGAATAATAAATCGATTTGATTTTGCAAAATTAATGTCTTATACATTTTTACCAACACACGTGTGATTTCTTTAAACAATATTTTATTTATATTTTACAATACCTATGTATTTTTTTATATTTGATTTATAACAATTTTAATATTTTTCTTTGTTTAGTACCTGCATGTTATTGCCATTTATTTTTCAAATAAAATTCTAATAATTTATATTTTTAATGGCAAATAAACTTAAAAAATAAACTGTAAAAAAATATTTTTAACCATAACTTTGGTCTATATAGACAGTCCTAAGTCTGTTAAAATGGGAAGGAAAATAAACTTATGTAGTACTCAAAAAAAAAAAAAAATTAAGACCCCAACTATTGTTGTACCTGCAAAAATCCCGGACCCAACTAGTATAGCATTTTTGAATTCGGGACCCAATTCGGATGCAGCCGTATGCGCCTATATTAATTTTATTAAATGAAGAAATACAGGACAATTTAAATTTTATATATTTAAAACAGACATAGAATAAATATCAAAATATATCTTACTTAAATACCTATTTTTTTCAACAAAAATTACTATAGATGTGATAGTTGATGACCAAATCCAACCTAACCACAGTGATTCTGATGACATATTTCAGTTTATTATAAGATCTCAAAGAAGGAGAATAGAAAGAAATGATTCAGATGAATCTGTAATATATAATATTAAGATAACCTAATAATGTAATAATACCTAATAAGTAATTTATTATGAACCAAGGTCCATAACATTAAATACTTGTTACCGAACTTATGTAATCTAACCTAACTTTTTAGCTTGTTTATGTCAAGTGGCTAGTATTGAAAATTATAATTTTTTTTCAGCTATAAATCATCAACCTCTTGATAATGAAATTGGATCTCCACATCAAGGAATTCTCTGTCAGATGATTTACTATGCTTTTGATTTTGATTTTTTTTTTATTATGGCAAGCATATATTAATTTCACCAAATTTATCTTTTTTTAAACCATTAATAATATTAAATAACTATCCAGCCATTAAAAAGGATATATCTTACTTCATATCACATATAATAAGAGGTATATTTGCCCTAAGCTTAATCACAGAATTATAATTGTGAAAGTACATAATACCTTTGTTGCTTTTATATTATGTAATGCAAGTCATGAGAAAACAAATGTTTGTATTGCGTCCTCTTAATCTATTATAATATTTATAATAAATAGGTACTTACAATAGGCTTGTAATTTTTTAATTTTTAGATACATACTTTTATTTACATGAACACATATTTTTATATTATAGTAAAAAATAATTGTTACATCATACATTTGTGTTAAAACCACTTCTTGATAATCTTTACCTAAATACCATCACATTTAGGATTAAAATCTTTCACTAAGGTTCCTGGTATTGGTTTACCGGTGTCTTCTTGTGCGCACCAACAATAACCTAAGTTAACAATTCAACTCAATAATAAAATAATAATAATATTTTATAATCTGATAATCCTATTGAACCTTATAATTGTACATACCGACTGATTTGTAACACTGAACATGTTTATATCTTCCATCTGTTGTACATTCTGGTATGTAATTTTGAGATGATGTTGATGGATCATCCAATGCATCTTGTCTGTCCTTTAAACAATCATTATCTGAAACACAAATTTGAAGTCAGTATATAAATTAACTAAAATTATAAAAAAATTAATATTTTCAGTAAAAAAAAAAAAAAATGGGGTTTTAGAATTAATGTACCCATCTAGTAGAGTAATACGTAATACTATATTTTCGTATTGGGTGTCACAAATCTTAAGGACGGCCATGCCACCCATGTACCACTTTCACTCTCACGAATTAAAATTTGTTTTTGTTTAATGTTCAATGTATTTCATCTATATTATTACTTAAAAAAAACGTATTTGAAACTTGCTGAAACTCGTGGTTCAAAAGTAGTAGGTTTCGGCGTTATTTCGCAGGTAGAATTTTCGATTAGTCTGATAGTCTTATACTCTGATGGTTTGGTTAGTAAGGTATAATGATATTATATGATGTTAAGCAATTAAAAAGATTATTATATTTATTTATTCAGTGTAGGTATTAGGTAGGTACCTACTAACTATACAGTCTATATTAAACTAGGTATTAAAGATGCGTGTAGCAACGGTAGGTATTGTATTGTAAGTTGTAACCATAAGGTACGGTTTCGTTAACGCAGTTTCGTTAACAACTGCAGAAACGAAACCGTACCTATAGACGGCTGCACCTTGTTTGCGCATAATCTATAATTTTTACCTGAAATATCGAAACTCGTTTGCGCACACGGTTATATTAAATTTACAACTGGTTTGGGCATACATAAATAATTATATTTCATCTGTGTTGGGCACTGATAATTACCGAAAAGGAGTATAATATATTACATTGGTGGCACGCGCCCGACGCCAAAAAGTCGATTCATTTAGATATGGTCGATATAACTTGCACAGGGACCATATTTTAAATATAGGTACGTCTTGCGTATTTTGTGTACGATTAAAATACATATTATAACGGTCTACCATTTATGGTTAACTAACTAAAACCGAGTTTCTAGTTTTCCACTAAACCGTGTCGTGTGAACTGTAGATTTAAATACTGAATAGAGTACATACGCATAGTAAACTTTTAGACATCGTCATTCACCGCTACCGCGGTAACGTGTTACCTAATACCTGGCTACCGACCTGACCACATCAGTCACTTAACAATAAACGGAACACTACTCAAACCGTGCACTTGATGTAAACTTGGATTTATATATCAGTATCTATTAATGGTATGCATCCAGAGGTCCTGTACGCAATTAATCAATCTCAGTTACCTATCGCTGAATGAACGTAGGTAACGTAAAAATATCTAGTGCCTAGTGAACCTAAGTAGGTAGTAACTAGTAAGTACAACGTGATTGATTAAAACATAAAAAAAAGTGGCTACATTTCAAGTAAATTCTCCCAATCATCTGGAAAGTTGTAAGATCATTTTTACACGGGCGTTAGATTCCTAACACATGCATTCTTTAATTATTTTTCGACAATTTAGTATTATTCTTATTGTTATTTGTTAGTGATTGTACATTTGAACCATCAACTAAGACTGATGCATCAGTGGACGTGGTGTCCTTCGTGGATCACTAAATTCAAGGTTAATAAATAATAGCTATTATCTACTAACCTTACACTAAATGTACCTGGGATCATATAGTAGTCTATGATCTAAGAAATGTACCCACCTATGCACTTTAAACTAAGCAGGTATGATGAGATCTATAAGTCTTACGCAGTCTATATGGCGTACTGGAGTAGGAATCGTGCCATTATTTGAAGTTATCATAGCTAAACATTGCATTTATCGATCAATTAGAAGCGGCCCGATTCATTTGCGTAGTTCCGTAAAAAAAAATTGATTACACCACAATTCAAGATATACTTAATGATTGTAAAGTAGGTATATCTTTTTTTTTGTGTTAAGGCTTCGACGTTTGAGGCAATTAGCCTGAGGGCTTATTACTGGGGGAGGGTTGGAGCATGTGTATATGTGGAGAGGATTTGTCACTAAAAACCCGGGTGGTCACCCATCCGGGACCAGTGACACCAGCCAATGCTTGACTTCAGACCACGTTTCTTGACTGAGGCCAACCACTGTGCCACAACAGGACACAAAGTATATTTTTAATCGTGAATTATACCTTATTACTTTATTATAAATGTAAGTAGGCACCTCCACCGCAGCTGATATTATAATATTATATTGTGTTACATTTTGATTAACTGTTGATAATTTATATTTAACTATCCTATATTGTGTACCTAAGTAGGTAAGTAGGTACTAAGCAAGTACCTATTATGTATATTGTATAACTAATATATAAATACTGTACGTTTTATTGTTTTAATAATAATTGTATATCAATGAACAAAAATACCTTCGGGGTTGTCCTCTTCGTCGCCTTCGGCTATTAAACCCGGAAGGGGGCCATTAAGTGTAGGTTCGCTTTCTTGTAGTACTGTGAATACAAAAATTATTGCATTATTACCCCGTCATGTTGTATATGAATAGAGCAAACATATGTAATATAAATATTATTTATTAGACAATATATATAACCTACTAATAGTGGGTATACAGATATTACAAATGGAAGGGGTTACATAAACAAATTATGGGTAGCAAAATGTTTTTTAAATTGTTTTAAACTGTATACATCTATATACTAAATAGTCAAAAAAATACTAAGGGGGTATGAACACCCAAAACCCCCTCCCCTATGTGTAGGCCACTGGGTACCAAGCAGATATATCGTATTTATACTTACTGTCTCCAGGATGTACTTTCTCGAGACCGATTCCACTGTCGTCTTTGTCTTCGTAGTCGACCGGTGGGGGAAATTCGGTCGTTCTAGTAGTAGTTGTAGACGTGTTAGTCATCGTCGAAGTCGAGGTTGCAGATGACTTTATGTAAAATGTTTCTGTTAATTATTACAAATACATTAAAGTATATTTAATAATGTATAATAGGATATTTTTAAAATTCAAGTTTCAACAGATATCTGGTACTATATACAGATATAGGTTATATTATGTAGCTGGATTAACACAAATAGGGCCATATGGTAAAGATGAAAATTAATGAAACAAATTAACTTGAGTATCTAATAGTTGAGTAAGTTAAATTAAAAGACACAATTCGTTATTTCGTTCTAAAAGGTTTTATTGGAACTCAGTTCGTACTTCGTGCTGCATACGAATTGAGTCCCAATAAGACATGTTTAGAACGAATTGAGTCCTGGGTTGTTTTAAACCTTAAATGTGTACTTTAAATAGGTATATTAACTGAGTCCCATGAAATTTTAAATATAAAACCAATTGAGTCCATGTTTTAAGTTAACAAACAATAAACTTCACTCAACCAGTTTAAAGTTAATATGTAGTTAAATATTAATTCCACGCCTACACTTAGAAAAAAGTTATTTAATTAGCACCTATGTCATTACTACACATAGTGATTATGTAAGTTTTACATTTTTAGTATACTATAACTAAATATTTTGTTGTAAATGCATACTATATGCATCCTACTATTTCAAATGTTGCAAAGCTTACAAAACTATTTCAATAAATATCTAATATTAATTAAGTATATTGGCACTAATATATAAATAAAATTGCACGCGACGTCAGATTTTCAATCGACACGAAAACAAATATATTATAAACATTTTTATTTTAATAATTTTATAAATCAAAATCTACTAAAGTACTAAATTAACTATACATATACAATATACATAACTATATAATATAACAATTTTGGCTTTTTGATAAATGAATAGTTATCAAAAAGCATGATTAAAAATATTAATAAGAAAAAGTTATCGACGGGGAAAAAAAGAGATGTATAAATATATGATACACATAACATAATATTATTTTCCTTAAATTATGGCTTACCGTCAATTGACAAACAATTAGTCCATTCGATTTTCGACAATACGCTGTTATGGTCTGTGTCGCACGTGCGGATAAACGTCCTGGAACATCTCTTAGGCTTGGCCACTTTGCGAACCATTCTCTTTAGGTCTCTGTATTCCATTTTAGTGAGGGTTCCGTTTTTATCTATGTCCAAAGAACTGAATTTCCATTCAGAGGCTCGTTTGTCCAACGTAATCGGGTCCAACAGCGAACGATTACCTATTATTATATGTCACGGGTAAAGTATACGATTTGGGCGTTTTGTATAATAAAACGGGCGTTATATAAAATGCCCCTCGTATATCGGGCAGGCTGTATAATAATAATATAGTATAGTATAAAATATAGTCAATATACCAGCGCTATTACGGATAATCTGTATATTTGGATTAGTTATATTTTGTTTTTTCTTATCCGCTAGGCAGTCCACATATTAAATATCATATGATTGGAGAGTTTAACTTATAATGCCATTATCGATAAGACATTTTACTGTTTGTACTGCTTGTACACATTACTGTTTAGTAACCGCGAATCTTTAGAAGTGTTTTTATAGTGCAGTTCAATTGCGTGCTACTCTACTTATAAGTAATAATTCAAAAATGGAAAAGTTTAATGCAGATTTAAATGATTTGTTAAAAAAAAAAGGTTCAACTTCTTCATCTTTTATGTTCATAATGAAGAGTTATATGATATTATACATGATGTTCATTTATCGATTGGACAAAGTGGTTGAAACAGAATGGAATATGAGGTAAATACAAAATACAAAAATATCACTAGAGATATGATTATGCTATACTTAAATAGTTGTGAATCGTGTCAAAAAAAGGAAGCACCGCCAAGAAAGGATTGGTGGTACAAACAATTATATCTTTTGAGATGAATTCTCGCTGTCAGATAGACCTTATAGATATGCAAGCACGTGAAAATAGTACCTATTCAATCACTTATTATGTATTTATTTTGCTTTTACATTTAACAATAATATGTACGAAATATGAACTAAAGAAGGCCACCTTTCAACTTTGTACAGTAGAAACCAATTCGTAATTTGTAAAGAGAGATTTTTGGAAGTCAATGATGTGCCACAAACTAAAATTTCACTTCGAGAGACAGCATGAAAATGTTCTAATTTGGGTTATCTAGGCTACGACTGATGTACGTGTGTACACAAATGTAATACACAGAAATGCAAGTGAAAAGCATCGAAACGATTATCCACATCAAAATGCCATGAAAGCAGTATAAGTGACAATAAGTGAAATGTAGGAATTATTTATTATTGATTAAGTGAAATAGTGAAATTTTAATAATGTAAATATTATAGTATTCATTGTACATTACATTTTGACTGTATTTTACGGATATATTATTATTATCTAACCTGTCCAATATACGAGGGGCATTTTATATGTATAACGCCCGGGCATTGTATAAAACGCCCAAATTGTATAGGTACTTTGCCCGTAAAATATATATGTGTAAATATAGATGAGCACTTGAAACTGTATTATTGATTATTGTTACTAGGTATGTAAGTATTGTTTTCAATACAATGATTAATCTATCCATCTATTTATCTATATCTAATCAATGACTTTTTATATATACTAATTATAAATCTGAAGAGTTAGTTTGTTTGAACTCTCTAATTGTCGGAACTACCAGTCGGATTTGAAAAATTCTGTATGCATTTCATAGCCCACTTCTTGAGGAAGGTTATAGGCTATTTAACATCAAGCTACGACCCTATGAGTCGAGCAAAAGGACAAAATGTCAGATGTGTTATTACGGTGTCGTTTTTTTTTATATATAAATGATTACCGTTGGTTACATCTTACAGACTATAAATTACATAATTGTAATAATAGAATGAAATCTATATACCGTGTGTCCGCGAAATTCGGGGACACTGTATAATTAAATGATGCAAATTACTAAGTACCCTATACATATTTTTGAATTCTGTTTGTGGAACTACACTATCACATCATCCATCTCCTGCAGACTGAATTCTAAAATATGTTTATTACTGATTAATATAGATAACTGAGTTATAGAGTGTACCCCGTTTCCGCGGACACAATCAAAATATTTTGCGTACATCTACAAAATAATAATAATAATATGTATAATAACTTAAGTTACTTTACCGTTTAATAGTGCTGAGTATTGGTCTCGATTGTACTCCGTTTTGAATATTCTGACTAAATTATTGACAAATATTGCTTTATCATTTTTACTGCATTCTAAAAACACAGTGGCCATTTGTTTATATTAATTGATATGTATAATTTTATTGTATAATTAATTGTATGTTTAATTGTATGTATACCTAATGAATAATGACTAATACCAGTAATAGGTACACTAATACCTATACTCTAATATAATGTCTAGATTGCCAAGATCTGATTGCCTAACTTTCAGAGGTTGTTGGCAACTACATTGACATTAATTGTGTATCCGTTTCTCACATTAAATACATACCTAATGGCTAATATAGTAATATATGCAGCTAGGGTATGCTAAATTACAATAAAATCCATTCATGAAGACTGAAGGTCAGTCTTCAGTTAAAAGATATTCCTGGAATTTTTAGTTTGAAGGTGTGATAAAGAATTAAATACTTTTCTCCACATTCAGCACAGTAAACCATACTCCACTTTATTAACAATTATATCAATATATTATAATGTCTATGTCCTTTTTAATATAGATTTTTGCAATTTATATAGTATTATTAAAATAAATTACACGATCATAAAATATATAAATTAGAACCTCTAGTGAATCAGTTTAATCATAAAAATGATAAGTGAATACGTTTAGATTTAGGCATTTATTTTTTGAAAATTCCTTTTACTTAGAAGTTTAATTACAATATTATTAATATTACAAAGTATAATGGGATGTTAAACCTTTCAAACCTTAATACTTTTTTTGAATTTCTAGAATAAAAAAAAAGACATTTTTAGTCATACTTATTTAAATTTTTTAACCGCATAGATATGTTTTTGGTTTGGATAAAACTTTTTTTCGTAATTGTGATGGATTTTTCAATAATTATAATAGTAGATGATAATGAACTTAAGGTGATAACAGACACACAATAAAACAAAACATCATTGTATAGTCGCTCCGGAATCAGAAGTTATACGTCATTATATTGATTATCGGCATAATTCGATTTAATCATACGAAATAACTTACATTCTTACATTCATACTCTAGATATTATTTTATAAAATATAAAACATGTCTAATAGTAATGTATAAAATAATTTATATATTTTATTTCAATATTTTCAGCAGTTATATATCCACGGTAATTATGTATTGTCAATTTATTTACCTCTTTTGGGATTACTTCCTTTCTTCAAAGAACCTTTACGCCATTTGCCTATCAAAAAACACAAAAGGTACTAAATAATAGTTTGAAAAAACAAGAGGAAGCATGCACGTATTACTGAAACATAATTTCCAACTAACCTCTTCCGTTATCACACTTCGGCTTTTGTCCTCGAACAATGGTGTTGGATACCATGTTTCCCGCAGGTGTTACACACCAACAATATCCTTCCTTTTTATGGCATTGAATCCGGAAGTATGTGCCGTCGGCTTTGCACCTGGGCATATACGAGTCCGGTGTTCTAGTTGGATCCTCTGATTTAATAGTGTGATTCACCCAACAGGGCTGCTTTTCTATATCATACAATCAAGTTTTAAATTTTAATACATCAAATTTATTTTAACTTTTGTACTGATAGGTATACTGTACACATAATATAATGTGGTTATTATTTGGTCTATTAAGTTCTACAAATTCAGATCTAAAATTAACTACCTACATATTATAATAACGATAAAACTAAGAGAGTAAAATATAGTTGCCTAATAAATAATAATATTACTTATTTAAAACTAGGTAGGTAACTGTTGTTGCATTTAATAAAAACTTTAATCGTTTATCCAGACTCTAGAGTAAAATAGTATACATATAGCTAAGTAAACTTCTAATATTTCTTATATTTTTTAATATTTTACTATAAGAACTAAGAATAGTTTACTTTACTTTATGTATATAAAAAAAACCAGATAAGTAATTCTGCTGTACTTAGTCCTAGTAAATAGTAATACGATCCTAGCGGACCTCGTATTTTTGATATTTTTTAACTATTGTAAAAAAAACTTATGAGAATCTTGTACTAAATTTTTAAGCTATTTTACTTAAAATTTATTAAATCAAAAAAAAAATTTTAATGTTAAACATGTTAAATGTCTATATAGATCTATAAATAGCGTCAAAATATATACCGTAATATTCTAATGAAATGCATTACTGTATTATAATAATATGCGAAAAGCGAAAAGTGTTGGTTACATTGTTACATCACACAATATATTTATTATATTATAATAATACTAGATTTTGGCGTTTGTCATCCCGCCTGCGGCGGAAAGACTGTGTGGGCGGTGGTGCATCTTTGTCGGCGATGCTGGGTTTTTTGATCCGGCTTGCGGCGGGAATGGGGGGTCGTCGGGTATTGTGTTTTGTCGTGTTGGCAGCACTGGTTAAGCGGTAATTTTTGAACTCGGAAGAGTGTCTAGTCGTAAGTCACGCGATTCAAGTCGATCGTACAACACAACCAGCCAGGTAGGCAATCCGACTACGTCGGATCGCAGACCATACCCCGAGCGTGTATGTCCGGTTCTCGTATGTGTGTTGAAATCGGAAATTCGGGTTCTCTGAGTTTGAGTGTCTAGCTATCAGTCATCTCGGGTAAAAGTCGATTCCCGAGTGTCGGTTGCAGGGGGGGTGTAAGTCGCTCGTATGCAAGTAGCTAGTCAGGTAGGCAATCCGACTACGTCGGATCGCAGACCATGCCCCGAGCGTGTATGTCCGGTTCTCGTATGTGTGTTGAAATCGGAAATTCGGGTTCTCTGAGTTTGAGTGTCTAGCTATCAGTCATCTCGGGTAAAAGTCGATTCCCGAGTGTCGGTTTCAGTAGGGGTGTAAGTTTCGTTAAAAATGATAAATTTGACGAAAAAAAAAGAATTTCGATTTAAATCGGCCGCCGGGTTCGTAACCACGACTGTCGGGTGACCCGTTCTGACGCTTAACCTACCTAGCCACCTACCGAGATAAAATTAGGAGTCAAATCTATGTCCCCGCGAAAGGCGAACGCCGTTTGGAAGGCCGTCAAAGGGCGTTTGAGCGCGCGATCCGACCTCTTCGGCGAGCGGACGACCGGCTCCGCCGCCCTTGGAAGTATAATACGCGAGTTTTGCAAAAAAATCGAACCTCGAGACGCACATATTTATGCCTGTATATAGCGGTACCTACTCGGTACCTACCTACTCTCGTTTAAGCGACGCCGCTACTCCCCGGGACTCGTTTTTTGAAAAAGTAGGTAAGCGCGCCGGCTATAAATTTAGCGTGGAACTCGAATACGTCCCCGACGGGGAGGTCGAACGTCTCGTAGAGTTGCTAAACGCGACTCTAGTCGAAAAAGTCGAGAAAACCGTCGAAACGGCGACGACGCGGCGCTCTCGGCGATCGAATCGTCCGCCGGGGGACTCGTTTTTGAAAAAGTAGGGCCGCGCGCCGACTGTAAATTTAGCGGGGAACCCGAATAAGATCCAAACGGGGAGGTCGATACGCCCTAAAACGCCTAAAACTCGAATTTTCAAAAAAAACGACAAAAAACGCGCTCGGCGGCGGCGGGGCCGACGGGAAAAAAGTACGGCCGCGCGCGGCTTATAAATCTAGCGGGGAAGGCGAATAAGGTCCGAACGGTGCCCCCCGAGGCATAATATTACATAACATGTATGTTTTAAGAAATTAAAATGTATTGAATTTATTGTAGTCTTTTCATGTTTACTTAATATTACTTACATTATTATGTATGTAACGACATTGTCATAAACAATCGACATACCAAGCTAAAACTCTTAGCTATAATAGTTAAATGTACTGCAATACTCATGAAAAATGTCTATCTAATCCGTGCATTCAAACTACTTATATTTTTAATATATTATTGAAATGCTGATTAATTGCGGCTTCCACAACGCCCGGAATCGCCTTACACAGGCAGTTAGTAAATATAAAATTTGATTAGGTACGATAATAAAATTCAAAATACAATTTATTAAAGCGAACATAACATTTTAGAAGATTTTAAAAACAATTATTATGTAGTAGTAATGCAAAGAAAAAATCGATTGTCTGTAAAGTCGGTTTACTGACGATAGTTAAACGTGACAACGTGTTCAGAAAATACTGAAGGAAAGGTAGCATTTTTCAAAAGTAAATTTTAATTTCATTTGTTTAATAGATTTGTTTTTTTTTTGATCTTTTTAAAGCCCGGCGACTATGGCCATTAGCTTGATTGTAGGGTTTATGATTGTAATTTGTAGGTAGTAGGGTTTGAAATTGTAGGGTTATTACACGTGTATGTTGTGTTTGGCAGAATTTCTATTGGGGCACCCGTAGGTTTCTGCCATGCCCCGGAGTGCCCCCTGTTCTCCGGACACCGTGAATTGTCCGGAGAAAAATGCCGCCCAGTGGTCGAGAGAATCGAACCCGCGACCGCCAGCGCCGCAGACGACGTGTTCGACCGCTCGGCCACCTCGTCCCCCATTAATAGATTTGTATGTATATAGAGAAGGAGGTAAATGGAAATCACAATGGAATTTATAAATTTATAAATTTAAGGGGCAAAAATTCTTATCACTTTCCTTATCAATAAAAACAATATTTAAGAAAATCCCAATAAATCCTATCAAAAACTCAAAACCCCGAGTTTCCCCTTGGCGAGGTGGGTGTTAGTACTCTCCCGGACCAAAATCCATCAAAAAAGCAAAATCCAAAAAGGGGGGGAGGAGGTGCCCCGTCCCCTAAAGCGGAAAACGGTAGTATTCATAAAAAGAATGGGTTCCCCCTTGGTCCGAGGTCTTTACTTGAATTCCGGCCGAGTTATACTCAACTCAAAATGTGGGGGGGTGGGGGCTTTGGTTCCCTAATGTTGAAAATTCATCTGGGGCCTAAGAAATTGAGATGCCCATTGGTACGGGGTCTCTAAGTCGAATACCGGCTAAGTTATACTTCGTCAAAAATAATTACTCGTTTAATGGGTCCCCCCACTCCGCCCGACGGTCGCGGGGTAATCGATTTATAAGACGTTATTATCACGTCAAAAAATTGAAAAACACGGGTTTTTTTTAATAATAATAATAATGTTCGAAAATATTCGTCGATAAGGAAAAGGGAGATAAGCGAGCGGAATTTATAGCGAACGCGCGGGAAGTATTGTGATTGGTCGTCATGGAAGAAACGCGGAGTGCCGTGAGCGCTCCCCGCGGATCTTATACGCGTTATTAGCGTTTTATTATATAAGATTATGTTGGAATAAATTACCTTTGCATCGTCCTCGGTGCTTGACACGCAACAGCGAGTCGTTAGAGCATCGGACCCGCAGCAAGGTGCATCTACTCGGGTAACTAATGTTGTCGGTGCCGCACACTGGTCTGCTGGTGGCGGCCTTCTTTCTTTCACATCGTTCAAGTTGACCTTTGCAATCTAACTCCTGTAGACACACGTATATATTATAAAATATATGAAATTATGTATTGTCTGTGTGATATATATTATATTATAGTATATAATATCATTGATTATAAGTTATAACTATTTATAACTTATCAAAATATGTACAACTGTATAAGTACCTAATAAATATTATATAATTTACTTTAAACGATTTTTTTTCAATACGATACAGGTGAGTGAAGTAATTTATACTATTTTATTTTCCTATACCTAAATATATATACCTACAATAAATGTATTTATTTTTTTTTTTATACATAAAAAATAAAAATCAACGTTATTTATGTTCTCGGTTTACTACAAGTTTTCCCCCGTATAATGAATTAATGAAATAATTATACTCTTTATTCTAATTTGTAATGTATTATATCATATTATATATTACATATTATACAATAGGTATACAAATACAATATTATTTGCATGCATATATATTATAGTAATATTATACTATCACATAATAATCACATAAGAACATTAGCTTACGTTTACCTATCGAATATTTATTGATTGAAAATATCAGTATCCTACAATATTATAGTAGAATAACCTGGGGTATAATGGCGCATTGGGCAAAATAATGAACTATTGTGTATAAGTAATTTAATAATTGCTATCTGGTCAAACATTTTTGTTATTATGATTATGTTATCATAGCTAAACGTGATAAAACATTTTTTCAGCAGTTGATGATGTTTTGGCGGCAATATGAGGTAAAATATTAATTGTATTCGTCTGATGTAATATTTGAGAAGCATAGAAGTAGTAATGTGTACTATATAACGACAACGTTTGATGTTGCTTTTACATATATTCGTTTAGTACAAGTAGGTGACTAAACGTCAATATTAGTACAATATTAATATGATAACAACTGATTATACTACAATACTGTTTATGCAGAAAATCATATTGAGGTAAAATGGCTTAGTGGGTTTTGGGGTAAGAGTGCGCAGTATTTCTTATACGATAATTGATTACCTACTTTTATAACATTTAATTTTTCTAGATTCAAAATGAATTAATTACATTTATTTATTTATTGATTTATTTAAACTAATAGGTACATTATATCTATACGATGCATTAACAATTAATGATTAAATAATATTATGTAATATTTTATTGAATAATTATACTTAGAACAATTACTTTGACTTAGTAATTATGTATTATGTTAGGAACTATTATATTATGCATGCATATTATATATATTTATTACTTATTATTTGATAAAAATAAAATAGATTTTTATGAATTAATTTAGCATGCGGCCTATTACCCCATTAGATATGCGCACTTTTACCCCAATAATTGGGTAAAAATATGCATTTGTTATAATTTCTAATTATTCAGAATTGTTTTTATTTGCTGTGGTAAAATCAAAGTTTGACAGGAAAATTGAAATCTACGTAATATTTATGTTAGGAAAACAATATAACAATATTTCTAAAACGTGTATGCTACCATATACCAGCTGTTAAATGTTAGGTGCGCCATTATACCTAGAGATGGGAGCTTGGTAAATTTACCCGGTAAATTTTACTGGTAAGGTAAATTTACGTAAATTTTACCGATATTTTTTTTACCCGGTAAATATTTTTTACCGTTCTAAAAATCGAGTGACCACTTATTTCAAATGTTTTCATGTGAACATTAACACTTCTCTGAGGTTAATGTTATCCGTAGACCGTAGTCGATACGTCAATATAATTAATATAAAATATTACGAGAATTTGGTAAAACCAGTTCAAATTATCACCATTCGTCCATTCCCCGAACGTAGTATACAAAACACAAGTACACTGTACACTATAAATAACTTACCAACCACAGCGACCGTTCACGCTGCGTATACGTATACCATAGACATATTAATAAATGGACTGCGTCCCCCACACACCCCACCTATGTCACCGTGAGACCAACGTTGTTAGAAAGAGATCAAAGATTATTGGCACTCACATTTTGAAAGGTTTACAACATTGAGATTTATAAACTTTACATTATGTACTTATTCAAGTTACAATTATGATTTTTATAGCTAATTTTACACGTATTCAAAAAGCAAAAAACATTAAATGTTCCCTTAAACTTCCAGTAAAAACCAGATGGGGCTCATTCATAAATTGTTTAGAAAGTCTTATAAAAAATAAAAGCACATTACAGAATTTGGCTGTTTCTGATGATATAAATGTAAGCAAATTGAAAAAATATTTAAATTTATTATAAACATCTATATTGTCTATGTTTATTTTTGTTAAGATAATAGAAAAGTTAGATAAAACAGTGAAACGCAAGATATTTTCAGACCATATTATTCCATATTATTGTTCCATATTATTGGAACTATGTTGAGAATTTTATCACTCTTGTTCGTCTAATAGTTAATTGGATTACATGCCTATGATACTTTAATGAGTATTGGCACAACATTATAGTCTATAGCTTGTTATCTGGTTGTTGCAACTCTCTCACTTATCAATAGGATCTTCGTGGTAAATATTATTTTTTTTTAAAATAATATTATGCTTAGTCCTTACAGAGTACATACCTCACCTTAAACCCATTAGTTATGACTTATTAGAAATCATATACCTACCTTTTAGTGTATGAAATCAGAAATTATTTTAATATAATACCTACTTAATAAACAATGTTATTTAGAATGAATGTTAGTTGTTACTCCTTAAACATAATAAGATGTTTAAAATAATAAAATATTGATATTAGGTACCAAATTAATGTTGATACTTGAAAGTTTAAATTTAGTTTAGTTAACAGGTAGCTAGTTAAAATTTTATCATAACGCGTAAAGAGCAAGGTTAAAGTTCTAAAACTATTAATTTAATTTAAAATATAAATTTTGTAGTCAAAATTTGACTGTTAGGCACTATCATTTAATAATAGTGCCTAACAGTATTGGGAATAGATAACTAATAATTTATCTAGATAAAGATAAAGATAAACTACAAATATTTTATCTAGATAAAATTAAGATAAATTGTATATAACAATTATAATTACACACAATAGACCAATGATTCTACCATTTTTTAACAAACATAATTAAATTATGATGTGCCTTGCTAATGGGCAACATACCTAGAGAACTAGTTTAAATAGATATTATACATACCTACATAAGGATAAAATAATAAATCACTGCTATTAGCTGATAAGTAACTTCTTATATTGCATTAATAATACCTACTTCGTGTACTCGTGTGAATTTGGCATTTAATATTTAAAAATAGTACCTACTTATACTCTGTCCCAAAAGAGAATAATTAGTCGGCCGACCGGTTCTTTTCGGTGGCCAACATCCCCCCACCAACTTCCCCGTGTTAACGTGATCACGTGGTTCTCGACGCACCAATCGAATCATTCGTGATGCGCGAAAAGTGATTATTCTCTTTTTTGGGACAGAGTATAGATAATAATACTGAAATAACACAAATACTCCATGTTTATTTTAAACTATAATAGTAATAATATATTTTATACATATTATATTATTTAACGATTGCCGATAAGAATGTGTTACTGACTTATTATGTTAGTGACTAATAAGTAGTAATAACTAATGACTATTGCAGGCAAGTCAAACTCAAAGTATCAAGTGGGCCACTAATGAGTAATAACAAGAAAAATAAAATAAAATAAAAATACATACATCAAACAGTTTTATTAAAACCGAAAAGTATCGACTCGAATAATTTATCTAAATATCTAGATAATATATTTGGTTTATCCTAGATATTTTTTTAAGATAATTTCAAACGGTTTATTCGTATTTATCTAGATAAGATAAAGATAATACGGTTTTTTATCTAGATAATCCCAACAGTGGTACTTAATAAGGAATTGTATATCCTTTTCCTACCTTTAATTTTTTCCCGAAAATAACACCATAATAGTAATTTTAACTAGTAATAAAAAATGTATTAGAAGTTTTTGTTGCATACGTTAAATTAACACATTTCGATTTATCACTTGAATAAAACGAACATTTAAATTATTTCAGTGTCTGCGTATAATACTGCAGTATTACAATATAATAGTATATAGCTGCTGCCTGCTATTTACACGACATATTATAACAGCGGGTCTCTGATCAGCGAACTGTGAAAAATAAACCAGTTTTAACACCGTGTTTGTTTCCTTTCATAAATAATGTATAGGTGTTTTATGAATAACTCTATATAAGATGATAATTTTACGATAACTAGTCTCCTCTTAATGCTATTAATTGGATAGCCGCCACGACTATACTCGTCTGCAGCACCTGTAGATATATGTATCTAATATAGTATTATGGTGTGTTTTTGTCAGAACTGAAAAGTGTAAGACTTGTCTGACTTGGTATAGGTACCTGCAATTACATATACGATTTCACCAATAAAATTATGAAGCTTACGATACATAAGCTTACTACCGAGTATCTATATATGTGCGTATATATTATATTGTATACATTCATGATTCGTTCAATATATATGGGTGGGGACACTGTAGTAGGTTATATTATACAGTATACAAACCCTGGTTTTAGTGTTTTTAATATTTAATATTCATCATATTTATTTTACAACTATACGTCTATACTTATACACAATACACTATAACATAGCGCATTACATAAGTATGTACTTAATATTTACCCGTAAAACAACTTTTTCTAAAGTTAAGTTTTAGATATTTATTTAAAATGGGCAGGCGTTTTATTATTATTTATTATCGTGATAACAAATTCTTAATACTTCAGAATTTGAAAATTAGCACATTGAACATAATAATATGGTATCCGTGGTCGATGAAAATACCTAACCTACCTCTATATTGGCTATTTCAATAAATGAATATTAATATTATAATAGGTGATTTAAAAACCATGATATTATTTGAATGGCTTATTTTTTTTTTACTATAATAATAGTATGGTTAAGTAGGTACCTATCATAAAATAGTATTGTT